TTTAGTATTTTTTTTTCATCGGTTTGTTTTTTTTTTGCCAAATATCTGCACCATATACAGCTACTTCTTTCTTTTCTCCATTCAGGTAAATGTCCATCCGGAGATAGCCTTAATAAGGAGAGTTCGAAATTACTCGTCACATACTGTGTTTTTGGAAGATTAACACCAATATTTTCAAATTGATGTGTTAATTCTTCTACCCGACTTCGCGTATTTGGCTTTTTTGTTCGATCATTTTCTTCCATACCTGCATTAATTAATTCCCATACTAGATGAATTCGAAAATTCTTATGATTAATAACGTTGCCATTTTTTTTAAAAATTAAGTAAGAATTGGCAATAGAAGTGTCGAGTAACCAAAAAATCAAGGGCATCCAAGTTCTTCTTACTGGTAATTGGACGGCATAATACCTGCGAAGTTGATCGGCTATGTCTACTCCACCCATGTGGTGGTTGTAGTCATCAATTATACAAGGTATTGGCAAAGCTTTTTTACTAGCAGTTCCAAAAACTGCACGTACTTTTGTAGCATTGGTGCTAGTTTCTCGGGGTCGACGTCGAACTCTTTCAACTCTATTTTCATTTCCAGTAATTTCGTGAATGGTGGTCAGCATGGTTACTGGACCGTTGTCCATCCACAAAACAGCAAGAACATCATCAACTACTACTCCGGATAATGTATCCCAATCTAACTTTTTATCTACTTTAAGTATTTTAGGGAAATGTGCACTATTTTTTCTAACTGTTCCGCACGCGCCAAAATTATTATTGCGCATATGTCGAAAGAGGTTAATAGATGAAAAAAAATTATCCATATATATATTGAAAGATTTATTTGAAGGTAATTGAGAAACAAGGTGATAAACATCGTTTCCAACTTTATTCAGATCCGCAATTTGTTTTACTTCTGGATGATTATGAATGCGCGAAGTAAAAATAAAGGAGTACGTGTAACCTGAATCACAAAGGGAGAGAATTTTGTACCCTTCCGGTGTAGGCTTGTTTTTAATTCTAACCGTATGCATGCTTCGACCTGAAAATCTTGTGATCATTTCATCGATTGACATGTTAGATGATGGAATACAGATCGATTTAGATATCATTTGAACATGACTTGCCAATGGGTCCAATTTAGAAAACCAATATAAAGGTGGCATACTACAGTCTGAAATATGCATAAACCGTTTAATCTATATTTAAAAAAAAAATTAAATAATTCATTGTAAATAAACTTGATACGGTAAATCCAATATTTACTTAAAAAAAACATACTTGTTCAAAACGAAGTATGGTCATAAAATTTGTTATCTTATGTTCTGGAAATTTATTATTCGTAACCCAATAATCTCTAATACTAGGAAATTTAAAAATACCAGCATATATCAATATTGCCAACCAAATTTTAAATTCTCCCACTGTTAATTCTACCTATTTTCGTCCTTCTCCAGCACCTTTTAAACAAGCGTATTTATTGGTATTCTGCACGATTGTATTTATTTGTTCATAAGAAAAAAACATACTAAAAATTGAATATGGTGATGATAAAAAATTTTCATTTCTAGTAGGAGCGTTTAGTATAAATCCATGCATGGGTCTTGAATGTTGAAATGTATTAAAAGGAGGAGGAATAGGAAGTTGTACATGAATTTCGGTTTCATAATTTTGACCACGACCATGACCACGACCACGGCCACGGCCACGACCACGACCACGACCAGAACCATGCTCTTGACCATAATTATGACCATCTCTATTATCTTGAATTTCATCTTGAGCGTTTTCATATCGAACGTCATAATTTTCATCATCTTCAGAGTCACTTTGTTCATAATGTTCATGGACACTACGTGATAATTCTACAATATATATGTCATCGTCATCCTGTTCGTTTAGAATTGAAGTTTCCATTGCAAAAAAAATTCGTGTGAAAAAAAATTTTTTTAAAAAAAAAAATTCAAAAGTTAACAAAAATACCTTACGTTGGGCAAAATTAAAGAAATTCTTTAATTGGTTAGTTTCGCCCTTTTCGAAACAATGGTAAGTTTGCAATTGATTAAATATGTTTAATAGAATGTTGATCAATATTTATCTAATACCAAAATGTGATTGGACTATTTTTATAAAAAAATACAAACCGATTTACATCTAAATTTAGAAATTGCAGGCAAATTTGCCTGCAAGACCGTTTAAGGGATATGATCATCTAATAGCTCATGGGCCTCACCCATAGTATTAGTAAAGAAAAAAATGGGATGTTAAGGTTTTGCGTGGATTACAGAAAGCTGAATAAGATAACGAAACGGGATAGTTACTCACTTCCTAGAATAAATGAACTGTTAAGTTCCTTAAAACAATCGGCATGGTATTCAACTCTCAATTTAGCAAGTGGGTTTTGGCAGATTAAGACGCACCCACAGGACCGAGAAAAAATGGCTTTCACTTCTCAGTTCAGATTATATGAATTTAACGTGATGCCCTTTGGGCTCACTAATGCACCTGTGTCTTTCAGAGACTTATGGATAGAGTATTACAAACGTTTTATGGAAGTTCGCTCTTGTATATATTGACGATGTCACCATTTTTTTGCCCACTTTTGAGGAACACCTCATACATATTGAGAAAGTACTTTGTCGAATAAAGGCCGCTAATCTAAAATTAAATAAGAATAAGTGTTATTTTGGGCAGCGCCAAATTTCGTTCCTAGGTCATGAAATCAGTGAACTTGGAATAATGCCGGAAGAAGCAAAAGTAAAAGCTATAAAGGATTTTCTTCAACCAAAAAACCTCAAAACGCTTCGTGGATTTTTGGGCCTAGCTGGTTTCTATAGAAAATTTATGAAGGATTCCGCGAAGACAGCTGCTTCTTTATTTAAATTATTAAAAAATAAGGAGACATTTAAGTGGGAAATTGGTCAACAACATGCCTTCGATACATTAAAGAAGAGTCTAATTACCGCTCCAGGTTCCAGTATCCTGGCACATAAGCTTATAAAAAAAAAACATATATATTAACTATAATAATAATAAATAAAATATAATGGAAGAAGAAGATTACCAACGTTTAGTAAAATATCTTACCGATATGACTATACCCACGGAGTTTGACCCACTAAAAACCCGCAAACTCAAGGCTCAAGCCTGATACTTCATAGTATGAGAAGGCATTCTATATAGAAGTAATAAGAAGGATCCAGAAAGCCCTTTAAAAGTGGTACAACAGAAGGAGGTTGCAACCCAACTGCAATCGACTGCAAGCGATAATTGCCTTTACAACATGCAAAAACCCTGCCTATTTATATCCTTTAATCTATATTTCTTTTGCTACTTGTTAGGGGATTCAATCAGTCGACTGGGGATTTAATCAGTCGATTGTGGATCAAATCAGTCATTTGGGATCAAATCAACCAACTGTGTTACCATACACTTTTTTTCAAAAATGGAAAGACCGTCACATAATAATAATACATATAATACTAACAAAAAATAAAATAAACAATAAAAAAATAAAAATTAAAAAAAAAAATAAAAATAAAAAAGATTTTTCGCATAATAGTGGTTTAAGAGTTCATAGTGATCGATGTAATTTAATCACAGGATTAGTGATGGTACCCGATCAAAAAATGATAATAATACAAGAAGAAATCAGAATAGGAATAGAAATAATGCACCGTGTCGGGAAAATCGACAGCAAGTCACATGCTTCATATGTCGTCAACCGGAACATGTTGCCTATAAATGCCCTATGCGCGTTTACAATAATAATAATAATGCCCGGCCACAGGAAATTAATGTAGAAAGACAAAGAATAACTGAGAGTGAACCAAATGAAGACCATAATCTACCAATAGTAGATGTAGCATGTACCCAAGCCATGCTGGCCCAATTCTTGAATATCGAAGAATCTTTAAACTAAAAAGCGCATCTCATGAGGGTGAGAGTGCGTCTGAAAGTGAAATTCCCTCACTAGACACTTTATTCGAAGACTATGCTACTAAAAGAAGGAAAAAAG